CTTTCCTAAAATGCAAGATGTGAGTGATAGGAGTTGTAGCAGATACTATTACTCACAGCAAATGCATGGTGGTAGATGGGGCATTTCCTGAACCCCCACCTATTCTGCTACAACTCCTATAACTCACAGTCAAGTCTAATGCTGTCTGTCTGTATTTGATAGAAGGTGGTAAAAGGTGGAAGTTTTAAAAGGGCTATAGACTGGAACGTTGTACAAAGCTTCAGAGGCCAGCCTTTATAACTGCATTATAGATTACAGGGGACCAAGGTTCACGTTACTGGAAAAACTCTGTAAACCTCACAGTAACATGAAGATATATGGCACCGTGACCAAGTCGTCTGAGTAAGGGGATCTTGGTACAGCCTGACACTGACTCTATATAACAGTTCATAGTTTGGAAATCCCAAAATAGCCCACCCTTCTAATGCAGGCTCATCAGAGAGAAAGGCCAAGCTCAGGAGGCAGAGCTGATAGGAAGTTACTAAACCAAAGCATAAAAGAAGACAATGATAAGAAGATAAAAGCTGTAATCAAGGAAAGGATTTTATTTTTTTAGGATAATTGCAGAGTCCATCCTTGTCGCCAGGTGATGCTCTATGCATGGTACAAACAGTTGTGGAGGTAGGGGGCTCCAAGTCAGGACTACATTATTAGTGCACGTGATCATTGGGGTTACTGGTCCACAGATTATAATCCAGCTGTAACAAGCAAGACCTGGTATCAGGGGATGCCTAGTGGGATAGTGAATGACAGATAGTCCCCAGTAGCACCCCAACTGGCCCGGTTGGTTTGGTAGATGCTGATCCAAGTTGTTAAAATGACCACCCAGATGAAGAGACCAAGACCTGAACGTTTTACATCTGTGGGGAGAAGACAGACCCGTAAATAACCCCTACTAAAACAGCAAGCAAAGAAATAAAAATAAAAAATCAGCCAAGCAAGCTCCCAAAAATAGTTTTTCAACTATTTTATTATTTTGTAAAGTAATTGTTATACAGCACAGCTTACTGTTTAGTGTGTAAAATCCTCTAACCCTTGGTTTGTGATTTGACAGAGCACTCTGTAATATATACACAAGTTTCCAAAAAGGAAAACCATCTCATGCTAAATAAAGAGCTACACAATTTCTCTGTTTAATCAGGTTTTAGAATTTCGAGAAAACTCCATACGGTCATTAAATTACACAACTACTTTTGCTCCTGCTCAGTTCTCAGCTCCCAGACACACACAGTCCTTTCTAAAGGCAAAATGCACTCTATTTTCCAAAATCAGTATTGGAAATCTCCATAATAGAGAGAGGTTCGTGTCTGTGTTGGTGTGGGAGACACAGAAAATCAACAGATTTCCTAAAGAATTGTTATGTGTGGACAACCCTTGTAAACTGCATTAGATGCCATCACACTCACAGCTCTGGATCTGAGGCTGTTCTGTATACGATGGTTTGAAAAAAGCTTCCTTAAAGAACCACAGGACATTCACCAACCACAGGAACGGCAGGAGCGCAAATCCACCTGCAAAGACACCATCAGACACAGACGGAGATCAGTAATCAAATCCTTAGGTTGTCATGGTAACAGTCCAAATTGTTAAACCCACTGGCTGTCATAAAAAGCTGGAAGCCTCTCTGTTTACCGAAAACAAACAAATAAATCACATAAGATAAAACATGAATTGCTTGGAAGGAGGGAGATCATGTATAGCTACACACTGACTGGGACTAGCAGCATTAGTCACAGAGTGCATCATGTATAGCTACACACTGACTGGGACTAGCAGCATTAGTCACAGAGTGCATCATGTATAGCTACGCACTGACTGGGACTAGCAGCATTAGTAACAGAGTGCATCATGTATAGCTACACACTGACTGGGACTAGCAGCATTAGTCACAGAGTGCATCATGTATAGCTACACGCTGACTGGGACTAGCAGCATTAGTCACAGAGTGCATCATGTATAGCTACACACTGACTGGGACTAGCAGCATTAGTCACAGAGTGCATCATGTATAGCTACACACTGACTGGGACTAGCAGCATTAGTCACAGAGTGCATCATGTATAGCTACACACTGACTGGGACTAGCAGCATTAGTCACAGAGTGCATCATGTATAGCTACACACTGACTGGGACTAGCAGCATTAGTCACAGAGTGCATCATGTATAGCTACACGCTGACTGGGACTAGCAGCATTAGTCACAGAGTGCATCATGTATAGCTACACACTGACTGGGACTAGCAGCATTAGTCACAGAGTGCATCATGTATAGCTACACGCTGACTGGGAATAGCAGCATTAGTCACAGCAATGAATCGGAAAGCACCCTGCCCAATACAAACACTCACCCAGGTAATATTTCCTGCACAGCTGCAATTTTTCTTCATTGGGGACCCGTTCCAAGTTCATGTTCGAGTTTCAGAGCAAAATAAAGGTACAGGTCACTGCAAGCAATGATGGAATCACAGGGGGACTGATCACAGGATTACTGTAGGAGGAGAAAAAGATATAAACATATGGTGGAAGTGCTTTCCATGCAACATACAGGATTATTTACTAAAGTGAGAATTGAAAGAGATTTCTGAATTTAAAGGAACAGTATAGCATTAGAAATACAAACCCATGGTTCTATATAGGCTCCCTCCCCCGCCATACAATGATTGACATTAAGGTTTTACTCATCTTTTCCCAGTGTGAGGCTCCCTCTGCCCTGCTCACACATCCCGTGACATCATGGAGGGCCTTGTATTTAATGCTTAATATGGGCTTCCACGTCAGGTGCCCGCGTTTTACTCTGTTAGAGCTGTCAGGAAAGCAGCCTAGAGGGGTGGATTTAACCCTGTAATGTAACAATGACAGGACCACGGCACCCAGACCACTTTCAGGTCAAAATAGCCGAAATTTAGAAATTTTCCAAATCTGCTTCCAGTTCGGCTACTTTGCCCTAAATTTGAAATTCACTTGGTAAATACCCCTGCAATACTGGGATTCATTGTATCGCTATAATTCCTAATTCCCCTCTCTCATATCAGCAATGCCCCGATGATTTGTCAGAGCTCTCCGACTGCTAGATTAAACTGTTAATGGCTCTTATATTACCACATTCTACGTAGGTCCGCCACCCTGACATATGACTGAATCCCACACCATGTATCTGCTTGCCGGCTTACTTCTTCTCAAGCCGTGCAAACTCATCCAGCAACGAAAAGACTGGGGTAGACAAGTACCAGCCAACCTTTCCAAAACAGGATTCAAATCCTTTACGGAGTCAGAATGGACACTGACTGCTAAATGTTTTAAGTAGCTGAAGATTTAAATGCTTAAACTGAATATTTTGGCAAATTGCCTTTTACATTCCTCCTTCCTGCCAGACCTGCTTTGTCTTGCTGCTGGGAGAGACGGCACAGGAGAACTATATTTGGTAATGTTTGAGCTGAGGACTTACATCCCCTGTGTTCTTTGCACTGTCTAAATAGAGATTTTAGGTCCTACTATAAATAATGAAAATGACAAAGAATCTATACACCCTACTACAAACCAATATAGTCAGCCCACCACCGGCATTCATGGGTGAATTAGAGATCTTTACTAGGGAGTCCTAACAAACACCGCTGCTCGATCTCCAGTAATATACAGAAGACGGTGTAAAAATATTACCTAGCTGGTATTGCACCTCCAGTCAATATAACGATAGACTCCACTAATGATGAACACGGTCAATGTTGTTTGCAGGAAGAGAGAACTTGTGGTGGGACTGTCTCCTTGTCAAGCCGTTCTGGCACAATACACACAACATAATGAACAGCTTTTTGGATTCTCCTTCACCTTTTCACCTGGCACCTGTGTTTTTTTTTAATTCTTTATTTTTGAGTGCAAATGATTACAAGTGTGCCTGAAGTGCCACAACAGCATTTACAAGCTTCATTTTGTTACACATTTTGAAACAGTAATATGCCATGAGAAAAAAAACGCACAATTTTCTACACCCTGTTGCAAATTATTATGCAAATTCTATTTAAGTGTCACAAAGATTAAATATTTTGTTTTTCAGTTTAACTCATGGATGGCATTGTGTCTCAGGGCTCTTTTGATCACTGAAAACAATCTCAGACACCTGTGATAATTAGATTGCCAGGTGAGCCCAATTTAAGGAAAAACTACTAAAGGAGCGTGTTCCACATTATTAAGCAGAGCACCATTTTCATGCAATATGGGGAAGAAAAAGAATCTCTGCGCTGCCGAAAAGAGTGAACGAGGTATGAAAACAGTAGATATTTCAAGAAAATGTAAGCGTGATCATCGCACTATTCAGAGATTTGTGGCTGATTCAGAGCACAAACGGGTTCATGCAGATAAAGGCACATTGAGGAAGATTTCTGCCAGCTTCATGCATCGGATCAAGAAAGCAGCTGCTAAAATAGCAGCAAACAGATATTTGAAGCTGCTGGTGCCTCTGGAGTCCCACGGACTTCAAGGTGTAGAGTCCTCCAGAGTCTTGCAACTGTGCATAAACCTTCTATTTGGCCACCACTAACCAATGCTCACAAGCAGAAACGGCTGCATTGGGCAGAAAAATACATGAAGACTAATCTTCAAACAGTCCTGTTCATTGATGAGTGCCGTGCAACCCTGGATGGTCCAGATGGTGGACGGCAACCCTGTTCCAACAAGGCTGCAAGGTGGAGTCATGTTTTGGGCCGGAATCATGGTAAGAGAGCTGGTCGGCCCCTTTAGGGTCCCCGAAGGTGTAAAGATGACCTAGGCAAAGTATGTGGAGTTTCTGACTGACTACTTTCTTCCCTGGTACAGAAGGAAGAACTATGCTTTCCGTAATAAAATCTTCATGCATGACAATGGCACCATCTCATGCTGCAAAGAATACCTCTGCATCAATGCCTGCTATAAAAGGAGAGAAAGTCATGGTGTGACCTCCATCCTCCCCTGACCTCAATCCTATTGAGAACCTTTGGAGCATCCTCAAGCAAAAGATCTATGAGGGTGGGAGGCAGTTTGCATCCAAACAGCACCTCTGGGAGGCCATTCTGACATCTTACAAACAAATTCAAGCAGAACCTGGCCAAAAACTCACAAGTTCAATGGATGCAAGACTTGTGAAGCTGCTATCAAATAAGGGGTCCTATGTTAAAATGTAACGTGACCTGTTAAAATGTTTAAAAAGTTAAAATGCTGTTATAAGTTTGATTGAAATAGCTTTTGAGTTCAGTAAATATGCTGCAAACACAACAAATGACAATTTTCAGTTCTTTACAACCTATAAATGCCTCGTTTCCACTGAGCGGATCAGTTCGGGTCGGTTCGGTGCGGTACGGTACGCTATTTTGAGTGTTTCCATTATGAAAGTGGCCCATACAACCGAACCAAACCGCACCATTCATGGTCCCCCTTCAGATGTAGGGCCATAGGAAATGGTACGGTACGGTTAGGGCGGAGCTACTGGCGTCACACAATACATTCCACTGATTGGCGGACAGAAAAACGTTAATGCTCACATCAAAGGCAAGCGCGAAACAAACACCACGTCGCCGTTTAGTCCAAATAAAAGGAGAAGGGTGCTTGCAAACAACAGCAAGGTCTGGTCTGCTCAGGAACTATCCACTTTCCTAACTATAATTGGCGATAGCGTTATTCAGAGTGAGCTTGATGGATCAGTGAGAAATGAAAAGGTGTATAAAGATATTTCTCAGCGGATGGCAGCTGAGGGATTTGAACGGACATCGGGTCAGTATAGGGCAAAGCTTAAAAATCTGAAAGGCCAATATAAAAAAAAATAAGGATGCCAACAGCCATAGTGGAAACAGTCGAAGTACTTGGAAGTGGTACGACGCCATGGATGCCACTTACAGTCATAGGCCGGCAAACCAAGGCAGGGAGGGAGGTCTGGACTCTGCATCTGCACTTCTCAAATCCATGATAGAACCCGTTGGTAAGTTTTTTTCCCTACTTTGCATTGTCTTTCACTCTGCTAACAATTTATAAATTAACTGCACAAAACCATGAACTATTTGCACAAAACAACATTTTATTTGTACAATGGACTGAACTATTGATCTGTGCATTTTCAGATACAGTTGATGGACTCTCCAATGATACCTCAACCTTTTCTTATGTTTCTAACGACGGTCCATCGTCGTTCAGCAACACCAGTACGATGACGTCAACACCGACCCAACCACAGAGTATGCTCAATGCACCCCGGCACACTGGTAAGACATGATGTTCAGAGTGAAAGTTGTAATTGTGCATTTTCCTAACTTTTAAATCACAGCAAACTGTGAACTCACTCAAAATGCTTCTATGTAGTTTGTTTGAAGTGTACAGGTCCTGTTATTTATGGCCTGGTCGGCAACAGCAACCAGGATAGCAGCCGGAAGATTTTTTTACATTACATAAGTATATGGAACTTTCTTTGCGGTTTCCTGAGGCTGGTGAGCGGACTAACTAACTCCACAACAAGTTTTGCTGTTTTTTAATTGTTATTAATAAAGTATACTTACCTGAGATCCGGATTGCAAGCTTCCTTTCCATGGATCCCTCGCACTCTAGGGGCTGATCCTCCCTGAGTGCTATAGCAACGAGTGGTTCTTTTACCACTCCAATCTTGTGAGTGTAACACCTAAAGGACACCTCTGTTTGCTTTATTTTATATATTTATAAGTGAATTACTATGCTGCACTAGGAGCTCTCTTTCTGTTTTTGTCTCCTTAATAGGTGTCAGAGTGATTTCCATGTTTGCAAGTATACCTACAGATTGTGCTTTGTTTTACCATAACCACTGTTTGGTTTTAAAGCATTTATAATATTTCCACTCTGTAAACACCTCATTTTATGTACACAGGGTTACTTTCACTCTCTATAAGAGGTCCATAGTGAATACGATTTTTATTTCTTTGTTGTTGCGCACCATCACTACTGTAAATTATTAAGGGTGTATATTATAACATGAGAGAGCTATGAAGTACAAACATGGTGGGTGGGTATGGGTAATATCAATATAGTGTAGCTGATTAATTTGTTGCTGCGGCTACGCTTCCACTTTAGTGTTAGCATGCTGAATCCTAATATCAGGCTTATCTCAGCTGGAAAAATTGATGGCCCGGATCCCCTAGTAGGCTTCAAGCAGGTACTTAGCTAGGGAAAGAGTATAGGGTGAGTGAGTGTCGACCAGAGAGCAGGTATTAGGCCCTGTGCTAGACGTGAGTATCAGACTCATTTGTAAGGCCACTGATTCCTCATGCCAGCAGTCGGTAGAGCCAAGTCCCCCCTCCCACCGGGGCGTTTCAGGCTTTGGGGCCCAAGTGAGAGTCAGCAGGTCAACTTAGGGATCGTGAACAGAGCTCCCCACCGGCAAGTGGCGGTGATGTCTATGGGTCTAAGGGCTACCACGTATG